TGCAGAGCTGCCCACGTCCCCGGTGGCAGGAGGCTGTTCATTTTGGTGGCTACATTGTGTTTCATTATTTGAATGTCTGCCATAATCCAGCTGCTACTTGAAGGAAATGAGCATAGTTTCCAGTTTTTTCCCAACACATCACAAGCAATGCGGTAATAGGCATCTTTGAGCACACACCTCTGTGGGCTCACGCTTTTATGTCTAAGGAAGGACTCCATCTTTCCATTTGTTGATGAGAATTAAAGTTTCCTTTTGATACTTATCCAAGGACTTGACGTTCCTTCCATCTGGAGCTCCATCCAGTGACAGGACTTCATTGATGGGACCTCATTGACGGGACCAGATCTTGCTGAGGAGCAGTGGGATGTACCTCACGGACAATGGACAGCCATCAACAGCTCTAAGCAGAGTGGCGGGGGAAGATGTGTGTTCCGGAAAGGTCTCCCTGGCTGCATGGTGGGGGAGCCGTGATGTGGGACACTGTGGAGGCAGAGACCACTGTTGAGAAGAGCAGCTGAGGCAGGAGGGGACAGCCCTAAAAGATGGAGGGGAAAAACTGACCAGCCCCAGGGAGTGGCCAGTGGAGGGGGCAGCCTGGGGGTGAGGACAGACAGGGCATAGAAGGGTCATGAGACCTGCTCCATCTCGCCCAGGCCCCGGCCCAGCAGGGTGGCCCTGACTCAGTAGCCAGCCCCTAAGGTTCTGCCCCACTCTTAGGGGCTGGGTCTGTGTGGCGGCCACTTCCCGAGTCCTGCTTTCTCTCTCCACCCAAATGGGCCCCCAGCCCCACAGGGAGGCCTGCGGCCCTTCTGCTGGGTGAGTCTGCCATGACACGGTGGCCAGTTCCCGGGGGGGAGAGGACGGCCTCCTGCCTCACCTGGTCTCGGCTCCACACCTCTCCTCTGGAGGCCTGTCTACTCCCCACTAGCGCGTCCCGTCTGATGATTACTTCATGAGGCAGGAAAACCAGGTACCCATCTAGCACTTACCAAATCCCTCCACTTGGGGGGACTGGGCCCCACGTGGCCTCCTGCTCCTGCTGGGAAGGCCTCCTGCTACAACATGGGAACAAGAGGCCTTTAGCATCAGCAGAGGCCGCCAGCCACCACTTCTTGCAGTTGGGGTGAATGGGGAGGCTGTTCCCGTTCCTGCCAGGAGGGGCAGACGCAGGGCCGGATGGTGGCAACCCTGAGAGGTCTCCCAGCCCTACCTCAGACAGCCCGTGATGGACTGCCAGAGAGGCCTGCTCAGCTGCCAAGCCCACACTGCCAAGTGCCCACCAGGAGACTGCCAACTGCCAGTCAGGAGGGGCCAGTGATCAGGAGGAGGGCTGCCAACTGCCTGTCACTACCCTGGCCAACTGTCAGTCAGGAGAGGACCAAGCCCCAGGAAGTCAGGGTTGCCCGTCAGGCATCAGCCAACTGTCACTCAGGAAGGCCCGCGGCAAGCCAGGGCGTCCGGCAGTGGTCATTCTGCTGACAGATGCTGTTCCTGCTACCTGGCATCTTTTCACCTTCCCTGACACTGGGCTTTCAGGGCTATCCCTCCCCAGCGCTCAGTCCCTGCGTCTCTGTGGGCTGGTTTCCTCTTTGGCTGCCAGGACAGACCACAAGGCTCAGGTTTGGCCAATTAGACCACTGCCTTCCTCTGTCTTTGTGATTGGTTTATGCCTGGACGTGGCTCTCAACCCCGGCCAGCTGTAACCAATCAGAACCAACGCTGGGTGAGGAGTCTTCTCTGGGGTGTGAGACTAGCAGCCAGCTTGCCATCACTGGAGCAAGATGCTGAGAAGGCAGCCAGCCCCAAGGATGCCAAAATGAAGGGCAGAGAAACTGGATCTGGGTTCAGGTCCTGGAAATACTGTGTGCTCCTGGATCCAGCCATACTGAAGCCAGTCACCACTGGGCCTTCTAGTTGTGTGAATCAATGAATTCCTCCCTTTGGGCCTAGCAAGAAACATCGTGAGGAGCACCAGCAATCACTCTGGGAGTCTACCAGTGTCTCCGGGGCCCAGATGCTGGTCATGGCTTTAGTGGGAGGCTAGGGATGTTTCCAGAGGAACTTCTGACTTAAAGGGCTAGACAAGCGGCTCCATGTTTGCCCTCCTTGCCCCAGACTGCGGAGCTATTGGCATGATCAAGATGTTGCCCACGGGCTGGGGCTGCGGCTCAGCGGTAGAGCACTCGCCTAGCACGTGCGAGGCGCTGGGTTTGATCCTCAGCACCACAAAAAAATAAATAATAAATAAATAAAATAAAGGTATTGTGTCCAACTACAAGTAAAAAAAAAAGATGTTGCCCAAGCCTCAGCATCAAGCAAAGCTGAGAAGTGGGGGATTTGCCCAGTGAGCTGGTATCTGCAGCAAAGACTCCCCTGGGGTCCAGTGGCAATGGCAGCAGCAGCAGTGGTTTGGAGCTTCCTATATCCTTTCCAGAAACTTCAGGGAGAGTCAGTGTCTTTGGGGATTGGGACAAAGAAACCCAGCAGCCCCTTATACCCTCAGGGTGAAGCAGCTGCATCTTCTGGGGACAAGGAACAGCCGACTCAAGGCTGCTTTCTGCAATCCTGCCTCCTCACACTTGTTAAGTGTCCTTCCATGCACCTGGCAGAGCACTGGGCACATTTCAGGTGCTCCAGGAATTATTGGAGGTAGGGGGACAATCTGCCCAAGAAAAGGAAGGGGAGAAAGTGTGCCTGCCTGAGGAAGGCTGGGACGCTGTTAGTCAAATTTCTGTTGCTCTGATAAAATACCTGAGAAAATTCTAAAAAAGAGAGGGTGATTTTTGGCTTAGTTTCAGGCAATTGGTTTTGGGCCTGGCAGAATGTCACCGTGGGCGGTGGGCAGCTTGCCTCGTGTGGCTGGGAAGCAGACAGAAAGAGGAAGGGGCTGGTGTCCCAATCTCCCCTTCAAGGACATGCCCCCAATGACCTAACTGCCTCTCACTAGGCCCCACCTCCTACAAGTTCCACCACCTCCCAGTAGCACCAAGGACTGAGATCAAGCCATTAGCACAAAGCCATTTAAGATCCAAATCATGGTAGGTACCAAAGAAGTCATTGACCTCTTCCTCCCAGCTCAGAAGTGACTGGGCTCAGAGGTATTGGAATCTGACAGCAGTGATGACATGGCTATGCCAGGAAGAGACCAGGTGGGGCCCGATAAAGATCTCGATGAATCACGACAAGTGCCAGAACCACACTCTTACATCTCAGGCTTCTCATTCAAGAAGCCACAAAACTCAGGGATTGAAAGTCAGGAGTGTGCAGCTCCACTCTGGGGTTCAAATCCGGCTCCACCAGCACCCCTATAAAATAATCCTGGGGAAATCCTTTTACCTGCTTCCAGCTCAGCCTCCTAGAGCAGGTTAGATTTTCACTACTAATACATATACCTTACTCACACACAGGGATTGAGTACTGTGATTATAAAATAAGTATGATTTATTAATGTCTTACTAGGTGTTTACTGGCACCAAACCCACCCGTGTTAGTTCACTATGTGACTTACTCCCTAGGTTTTCAAAGCCACTCTGGGGGACAGAGCTATTGGTCCCATCCCACAGAGGAGGAAGTTGAGGCTGAGGGAAGTCAAGATCAGGTTAAAATCAAGCTCAAGTTCCCAGAGAGCCTGGCTCCAAACCCCAGACTCTTTGCTTCTCCGCGCGCGCCCCGTGGCAGCAGCTGGAGCGGCCACTCGGCTTCCCTCGGTGGACAGCAAGCAAGGCCGGCCAGCCAGGGAGCCAGCCCAGCCCCAGCACAATTGCCCCGGGGAGCCAGGGTGGTGTTGGGGGATATTTAGCTGCATAGCGCACTCCGCATGCCAGGGCTGTAGGAGCCCACACGCCCAGAGCCCAGGCCTCAGGCTGGGGCTCTGCCCAAGCCACATGTGACCTCCCCAAGCAGGATCCAGTTACATCACAGCAGCAGCCCAAGGAACAGACCTGGCTGTGTCTCCCACCACGTGCTTATTTCCTTTGCCTTGTGAGTGTTGAAAAATGAAAGGAATGATAAGGGTTTGGGGGTGTGGTGGGGGGCTGGCTGGAAAATCCTGCAGAACTTGGGTAACTCAGCCAGAGGGAGGCACGGAGGAGTTCTCAGAGAGAGAAAAAAATCTCACAAGGTTACAGGCACAGCCTGGGAGCGGGGGCTTCTGGATTCCTGCTCCCCGTTGGGGGTTGAAGGTCCAGCCTTGGGACAGAAGGTTCACATCCTGGGGTTCTGCTGCTGGCCTCCCAGGGCCGGGCCACCACAGCCCTTTGGGCCTCAGCTACTCTTGCAAGGAAGAGTTGGGGAAATGCATGCAGACCAGAGGCCCCTGAGGGGCAGTTTTGCTCCTCGGGGACATTTGGAAATGTCCAGGAACACATTTTTTGGTAGTCAGAGCTGGGAAGGGCAACTAGTGAGTAAAGACCAGGGAAGCCAGACACCCTCAGTGCCCACGATGGCCCCTGCCACAGAGAATGCTCCTGTCCCCAGTGTCAAGAGCCTGTGGTTTAGAGAAGGCCGGTGTGGAGCCTGGAAGGTGTAGCAGCGCAGGCCCATCGGGAAGCTTAAGGGAAGGCGGCAGGAGGAAGGGGCGTCCTGGAAGCCTCCACGTGGGCTGCCTCCGAGGAAGCGTCTGTGTCCATCAGACAACAGATGTTTACCCAGTGTCTAGCGGAGCCAGCACTCTGCCAGGAGCTGGGCAGAAGTGGACAACTTCTCACCTCACGCAGTGTCTGGTCCAGAGGGGCAGAAAGAGCCAGACGGAGTAAGCAAGCAAGTCAGTGACATGGCCCCCAACACCATCAAGGATGGTAAATGGATGAACAACTGCCGTCTGTCCAGACACTGCGAGACTGTTCAGCCACCGAAGGAGGATGTCCTGATGCAACTATGACCCGGATGAACCTGGAAGGCCTTATGCTCAGGGGAAGAAGCCCAACCCTGCAGATCACGTGCCACTGATGGCATTGCTGTGAAAGAACAGGAAAATGTGTAGAGACAGGAAGTAGCTGGTTGCCAGGGACTGAGAGAGCTGGGGGAAATGGAGGAGGACTGGTAACGGCTACAGAATTTCTTTTTAAGGTAATGAAAATGCTCTTGGATTGGTTGGGATGTTGGTTGCACAACTCTGAATAATGTCTTACACACCATTGGACCGCACTGTCTTTTTTAGTACTGGGGATTGAACTCAGAGGCCCTTTACCACTGAGCCCCAGCCCAGCCCCTTTACTTTGCTTTTATCTGTTTGGTACCAGGGACTATACCCAGGGGCACTTCACCACTGAGCCACAGCCACAGGTCTTTTAATTTTTTATTCTGAGACAGGGTTTCACTGAGTTGCTTAATGCCTCACTAAGTTGCTGAGGCTGGCCTCAAACTTTCCATCCTCTTGCTTCAGCCTCCTGAGCCACTGGGATTACAAGTGTGCTCCACCACAACCAGCTTTTTTTTGTTTTGAGACAGGGCCTTGCTAAGTTACCTAGGCTGGCCTCAAACATGTGCCTCTCCTGCCTCAGTCTCCTAAATAGGTAGGATTTGGAGCTTCAATGGCTGCCTTGTGCAGCGTGTGAATTGCAGCTCCATAAAGCCATCGTGGACACAACAGTAATAACGATGATGGTTGATGAATGAAATAAACAACAGCCTGAGACAGATCAACCCAGTGCCACTGTGGCCAGATGGGAAGCTGCCAGGAGCTGATATCTGAGAAGGAGACAGAGACCAAGGTCCAAGAGAGGGGACAGAACAGAATGTGCGAAGAGCCTCTGGGGCCAGAGCCCAGGGTGTGCCCAGTGGGAAGGCAGCCCGAATTACTGTGGCTGGGGGCTGACCGTGCAGAAAGGTTCGGAGACCTGGCCTCTGTGCTCAGGACCCTGCACATTCTGTTCTGTCATATGCCCCCAGGGGCTCGGCACCTGGGCAGGTGGCCTGGCCTCCATGTAAAGGACAATTTACTTTCAAAGTGCTTTTTGTTATCCTCAGTAGTGTCTGCAACATCCCTGGTGGGGGTCAGGGGGCGGGGTCCCAACAACCTCCACCCCCAGGTTGCACTGGCTGGCCTCTGAGTCAGGCCAACCCACCCTGGGCCAGCGTTGCCGCCAGTAGTTTTTCCTCCTTGTGGACTCTCCTCCCAGTGCCTGATGTCAGCCCTAGGGGACACATCTTCCTAGCAAGGTGTCATTGCCACTTTGAGCAGTACCTTCCAGGGGACTTCTTTGTTTCTTCTTTCCAAGCCACTGGGGGATCTGAGCACCAAGGGCTGCCCAGAGCCAAGGATGGTGGGAGATGCCAGAGAAATGTCCTACAGATATACTGCCTGCTCTGCCCTGGGGGACAGCCTGCTCTGCCCTGGAGACCCTCAAGCATGCAACTGGGTCACTTCCGAGGACCTGAGTCTTCTTTGTCGGGTTGGCATGCCCTGACCTGTCCCTTGGGGGTTTGCCCTGCCCTCCCTAGGGATCTCCCTTCACCCTTGTGCCCACCACCCTGCAGGGGTCTTCTGAGTCACAGCTTTATCCCACCACGACCACAGGGAGCCAGGCACGCAGTGACTTGCTGCCATCACACGCCAGGTCAAGACGTTGACCAGGTGTCCTGAGGAGTCCTCGGGTCCTGTCTATCAGCTATGGGGGCCACCAGCATCATGTCACCCCCTTGAGTTCACAGAGCCTCTTAGGTATGATTAGCACTGGAGAGTGACCCTGGGCCTAAGAGGCAGGGGTCTGAACAGAGACCCCACTCTGTAGGGGAGGAAGGGCGATGTCACACAATGGAGGTGGCAGAGCCCAGAGGGGAGCTCAGGCCAGTGGGACTCCAGAGTCAAGATTCTGCTCCCAAATCTCAGGGCTTCCCACTGCTGGAGGAGTCTCTCTGCCGCCAGGCAGGTGTGGGAAGCCTGGGCACTCGGAATGGGCATCTGGGCATCACATCTACCAGGAGCCTGGGGACCTCAACAGTCTGGGAGAGGTGGCAGGAGCCTGGACCCTGCATATGAGGGACAGTGGTCCCAAATTCAGGAGGAACTATAGTGGGCAGCTGTCCATTTATGAAGAGATGGATATTAATGAACATTTGTAAATCAAATCACTGCCTCACAGCCCCCCTCAAAAGCAGCCCAGCAGGATGGGGGTGCCCTGGAGCTGCCCCAGCCCTTCCTCCTGTGTTGCCTCCTGGCTTTTCCTGGTGTCCAGGCCGCCTGTATATAGAAGTTCTCTTCATAAGTACAGACATCCAGGGTGTCATCAACCTCTGCTTCCACTGAAAGCCCCTCCTGAACAGCGGAGGAGTCCCCCTGAAGGTTATGGTAGGAGTGTGGGTCTCTCTTCTCCTGAGACGGTCCCCTTGCCATTTAGAACAGTTCGCTTAGGACTTGGGCAGATGACTCCTCTGTTGGTGATCTGGCTCCTTTCTTTATCCCCCACCCAATTAGAACATTCCCAAGGGCAAGGACTGGCTTCTCCACCAGACAGAGCCCTGGGCTGGGGCACAGGAAGGAGTGGGGTAAGGGCTGAGCCACGCAGTCAGCCCAGGAGATTTCTATCACTCTAGAACATTAGTTTGGCCTGAGGAGAATCAGTTTCTCAAAGTATTCTGGTCCCCAGGAGCTGGGTGGTGACCACAGGACTCAATTCCTGATCACTTGCCAGGCCAGATAGCCTGGTCCCCTGAAATGGGGCCAGGATAGGGCTTAGGTCTGGTGCCTCCCTGGGCTTGGCGCCCACCCCCAATCTGGTTCTCTTTTGGTTTGGGGAAGAACCTCAAGCATGGCAACTCGGTCACTTCCCAGGACCTAAGTCTTCTTTGTAGGGTTGGCAGCCCTGTCCTGTCCCTTGGAGGTTTGGCGCTTGTCATGCTCCTCCGCTTGCCCGAGCACAGGGACAGAATTAGCTCTCCAAGCCGCCAAACCTTCCCTGGGAGGGACCAGAATTTGGCCTCCTGGGAATCTGCCCAAGGCTTTTCTCCTTGGTTCCTCTGGGAAAAGATCCAGAAAAAGACTGAAAGCTCTTGGCAGATTGGAGGAGGGGAGGGGCGAGACCAGGCTCTGTCCTGCCTTCACAGGAAGCCCCCCGGCTCTGGGAAACTGAGAGCTCCCACCACAGCCAAAACAGTGACTTGTGCTCTGTGGCCCTGGGGAGGGCTGGCTGGGCCTCCCTCCCTCCCAGCATGCAGTCACTCCCCAGGGATCCTTGCTGCATTCCTGGCCTGCAGGCCAAATGCAATTTCATGGAAACCTCAGGAGTTGAATGCTTTCCAAAAGGGTGGCCTGGAGCCAGACCATGAGCACAGGAATCTATCCACTCTGCTCAAGGAAGGTCCGAGAAATCAGGACTCAGCGGACAGATCCCCAGCTGGTCCTCCTGTCTGTCTCTGCCCACCAAGATGTGCCCGCCCCCAACCTGGCTCCTGGGCCAGCCAATGACAGGCACCTGCCCTGGGGACACACCCATGTTGTCCAGCCATGCGGGGTGGGGGGAGGGGGGGTGTCAGGTAGTTGTGAACATTCCAGAAGGACTCCCTTGACACCCAAGGCAGACTTTGGTGACACATGTCCTCAAGAACCAAAAAGAAGCTGATGGAAGGGTCCGGGATGGGTGCCATCTGATGCCAGGGTAAGGAGAGGGGCTCGCGGGTCAGGTAGCGCTGGGTTCAGACCCTGGGCCCTGGCAAGCGGGGTCTTTTCTCCCCTTTGGCATGGGCTTCCTGGCCCCCTTCCCCAGGGGTGCTGTGAGCGGAGAACCTGGCCTGTGCTCCCAAGGGCCACCACGTCCCTGCCCCGGCTTCCCTCCATCCCGGCCCATACTTTAACCTTTCCCCCAGACATCATCTTCCGTGCCCGCCCCAGCACCGGGGGGACGGCATTTCCTGCTGCACCCCGCGCGGGCTGGATCACATGACCTCTCTCTGGCCAATGAGACGCGAGCTGAAGTGACGCGAGTTGTTTCCGGGCAGAAAATTGAAGAGCCAGTGGCAGCTGGCGAGGGGCGCTGAGTCCGTCCTCGATGGAAGGAAGCCCTTGTGGCGCCTGAGCCCGGGGCAAAGGCGACACAGCGCGGAGCTGGAGCCACCTGGCCGGAGAGGCAGCGACCCTCAACTGAAGCTCGCGTGGAGATTGGGGTCGTGTGCGTAGCCGTCGCCGAGAGCCGGGGTCTTCGGCGCCTGGGTGGGGGCCGTGATGACTAACAGTGCAACTGTCGCGCCCGGCGGCGGCCACGCTTAGTGCTTAAAAATGGTAGAGAGAATCAATTTCTGCTCGCAGACCAGAGTGACCCTCCTGCCCGCTGAGGGTGGGATCTTCTAATGGCAGTTGGGAGGGCTCGGCCTGAGGTTTGTATGCACCCCGGGAGGAAGCGCCTCCCCGAGTCAGAGGCCGTGACCTTCTGCTGCGTCCCTGGGGAACCCCCGCCTGCTCCCTGACACCCACCCGCAGCAGCTCTGTGGACAGAGGCTGCTTCTGTGAGATGACATTGTTGGCCTCCCCTGCTAGCCAGGGTTGGGTTGGTGAGCTTGCTGCATGGGGGCTGGGAGGGACAGCCGCCAGAGATCCATAGGGCGACCCTCGCCACCTCTTTTTGGCTATAACTTTCCCCCAATGACTGAGCCCGAGACCAATACCTTCTGCAGCCCCAGACTTCACTTTTCCTGCAATCAAATGTGGTGTGGGGTCCTTGCTGTCCCATAGCACTGGCCTTATTGCAGTGATCTATCACTAAGTTTTTTTTCCAGTGACCCATGGTCCCTTCTTGACCAGATGATTGACATCAGGACTGGAGGTCTTCAGAGTTTGGGCTTCTCAGCAGCGTTCCCCTCTCCGCTCCACCCACGTGCCATGTAGACAGCAGGTGTCGGTGAAGACAGGTTCTTCTCTCCCAAGTTGATGGCCTGGTGCTGCTGGCACAGGATGGAGGGCAGCCCCAGCTGTGGCCAGCCCTAGCTGTGGCCCGCTCTCTGCAGTCTGGTTCTTGGTGGTCAGGCAAGGGAACCACTGGTGTTGGGAAGGGCTCTGGCAAGGAACCAGGCACTTCCCCCTGCCCTCAGGTCTGGGCTCCATTTCCTCTCCTGGTCTTTGCCCACTTCTCTCCTCCTGGCAGCTGGGGGCCCTGAGCTGGCCAGTTCTCTCAAAGGATAGGGTTTTGTGGTTGGGGCTGGCTCCCTCTCAACTGCCCACCAAGGATGTGAACAAGGGAACTTGCAAAAGCCATCTCTCTTTATTTTTCATTCCAGCTGTTCAACCAGTTTGCGCAAGCTGAGGATGAGTGGGTTTTGGAGGGAAAGGTAGAGCATCTAGGGACAGACCCTCCCAGAAATAGTCTATGCACACTGCTGAGGCTGGTTAGACTTGAGAAGCAATTTAACAATGAACTCTACAGAATCAGAAATGTAGAAATGACAAGGCAGCTGCTAGCTGGTTTCTTGGCTCCCCATGGGGGTCAGAGTTATACCCATCAGTCCTGTGCAAAGGTCCTGGGGCTGACCTGGGGGGCTGCCATATTCTTCCCTGGGGACAGAAGCAGCCCTGCTCACCCAGCAGAAATGTACCAACAGGCAGGCGCATGGGTGTGTGCCCAGGTTCTATGGCCCCTGCAGGCTCCGTGGCTCCTTGAGCATGTCTCTTCCTCCTGCCTCTATGTCCGCCCCTTGAAGGTGTTCATGCAGGTGTAGGTTCCTGAGAATCTGTGGATCTCCTCCAGTGCAGCCTGTGGGAGTATGCTGGGGAGCAGGGAGGAAGAAAGGAAGATGGTCAGCAGGGGGGTCACTGGTGGCCACATCAAACAAGAGTGGTAGAATGGTATTCCTAGAAGCACTCATCTCCCCTTTCCCAAGCACAGGCCAGCTTCCCCTGTGACCACCGCGTTCACCCGGGGAAGGGCTTTCACACAAGTGGGTGAGCCGCTCTCCACAAGGTGAAGGGCGGCCACAGGATCAGCCTCGCTGCGCCACATTCGTGGCATCTACTGTGGTGTGAATGTGCTGGTCCCCTCCGAAACTCACGCTGCAATGTGGCCATCGTTGGTGGAGTTGGGGGGTGACCTTGAGGGCGCTCTGCCCTCACAAGTGGACTGTTCCACTCAGGCGTCATGGGTGGTCTGGCGGTGGCTTTGTCATAGAGGCAGCTTGCTGACTCACCACGTGGTGCCATGCTGTGGGACAGCAGCACCATCTCTAGAGGCCCAGCAGGCCAGCCCTGTGCTCTTGAACTGAGAGTGAATAAACCTCTCTTCCTTATAAGTAACCTAGTCTGTGGTTTTCAGTTATAGCAACCAAACAGCCCGGGAGGGCAGCGGGGCCAGAGGTGTTCGGTGGCTCTCTCCTTCAGCAAGGATCTACACTGTGGGGCTGAGGAGTGAGCTCTAGTTTGGGTGTCGTGTCCTTCAGGGAAGTGTCCCAGACTCACCTACAGGCTTTTCTTGGGTGCAACCCAGAGTCCTGGGGTCATCTTGCCTGCCTGTCACATGGGTGCTTTTACGGTGATATGTCATATCTGACTCCCTGCCCCTGGCCTGCACAGAGAGGACCCCCTGTCTGATGAGTCAGATTGAAGGGCCCTGGCCCATTCCACGTGCAAGACAGGAAAGCTCCTTTCTGGGCAGAACAACTCAGAACTAACTTCCAGGGGGTGGTGGCAGTAGGGTTGGGCCTTTAAAGACTTCTCTCAGGGAAGGTGAGGAGGGGGTCCCTTGCAGGGATTGGGGAGGGGGAGTGGCCTGTGCTTCCTGTGGGGAGGTAGTGGGGGGTAGGACAGGAGATGTCAGCTGGGGTTTAGATGATGTAGCAAACTAACTTTTCTATAGAATGTTCCAGTAGACTTCTGAGGTTCCCTGGGGTGCAGAGTGCCAGCCTGGCCTCAGTGAGGGCCTGTGCCCCTGCCCTTAAAGGGGATCCCTGAAGTAGCCAAGGGGCCCCCTGGACCAGAGGTCAGAATGGAGTGTGTCCAGCTGACCCCGTCCCCTCTCCACTCTGGGCCTCCAAAGAAGCTTTGAGCTTGGAGGAGAAAGAACTGGTTGGCACTGTCCCCTGTTTTCGGGTTTCAGTGGTCACTGTGTCACAGTGGCTGGGAGGCTGGCTTTCTGGGGAGGTGACGTCATAGCAGGAGCCAGCCCGGCACAGGGGTCTTCGTTCCTGAAGAGGCCTCCAGGTGGGAGGGTCCGTCAGGCAGGGCGGGGGCTGGAGTCCTGAGGCTCCAGGGACAAAGCTCTCCCTGCACCCAAGAGCCATGAGCACTGCTGAGGTGGCCAGCTGCAGTGGCCCCTTCAGTGTGGGACTGGGGTGGCAAGGGTTTGCTGCACAAGGTCTGGAAAGTTCTAGGGGAATACGACACAGAGCAGATTCTGGAGGACCATCTCCTGAATGAAGCCGCCACCACAGCTACTCTGGTGAGTCCCTGAGACCATCAGTGTGACGCTCCTGAGCCTTGGCCTCGTGACACCTGTGTTCCTCCTTAGCTCCGACTTCTGAGGGCTGGGCCTGGTCTGGGATCTGTAGAACAGTGGTTCTCAAAGTGCAGTCCAGGAGCCCTTGGGGTACCCGCGATCCTCCCAGGGGTCTGCAAGTTCAGACTGTTTTATGGTCGTACTGAGATACCACCAGCCTTTATCACTGTCACCCTTTCACAGGTCTACAGTGGCGTCTCCCAGAGGCTGCATGCCGCCGGCAGACACAAGAATCCAGTTGTCTCCAATTAAATGATGAAAGATTCATGAAAATGTAAAATGACGTTTCTCCTGACTACAGTCACTTTGTTTGGGGGAATATGTAGCTCCTCGTCATGAAAACACGGCATGTCAGTGCAGTACGCTGGTCATCGCCACTCACTCAGTTCTGTCATGGTTACTTAATGGTGCCCGGGATGGGACCCAGGGCCTCCTGCGTGCTGGGCCACTGCTCTACCACCCAGCGGCCTCCCCGGCGCTTTTCATGTTTTACTTTGGGACAGAGTCTCACTGCGTTGCCCAGGCTGGCCTCAAACTTGTGACCCTCCTGCCTCAGCCTCCCAGATAGCCGGGATTACAGGCGAGCGCCACCGTGCTTTACTGTTATTACTGTTGATGAGCAAATAAGTAAATAGGGGAAATAGGAGCAAATGTGTAAGTGTTAGAACATTTTCCTCATTTTTAATCGCTAACAGTAAATGTGATAAATACAGCTGATAAACCAGGGCTCCCTGGCTTCCTCAGTAATTCTTCAAGACTACAGGGGCCCGAGGACCGCTGCCTGTGGTGGGGCTCGTACCTCGTGGCGCAGGTGCCCCGACCCCTCATTCTCGTGCCCACGGCAGACATGACTCGTCGGTCACTTTGTCCTGCCTGCTGCTTCCCCACCGGGGAATGTCTGGCATGACGCTGACCGGGGGCTCCTCCCGGCACCTACCTTTTCAAGATAATGAGGATATTCATGGTCCAGGGGAGCAGGAGGAGGGCCTGGTTGAGCTGCACCGCTTCCACTGTCCTCCGCGCCACCGTCTCTGGCTTCAGTGGGGGAAAGAGATGGGGAAACCTGGGGCAGGAAGAGACACAGCGGGTTTCTCCCGGGGAAGCGCGTGCTCCCGGGAAGCCTGGGTGGCTGACGTGGGGGGTGTCCCTTGGCTTTTCCCGTGTGAGACTTGAGGCTGCGGGTGTTCGCAGCTCAGACTTGTCGGGGCTCCATGTTCCCTCACTCCAGCCTCCAGCACCCGAGCGAGGGGCCCCAGGTTGCAGGGGGCGCCCTTGGGGACCAGGACTTCTAGCCCACCTGGGTTCGCCCAGCTCTGCACAGCCTGGCCCTGCCCAGTGTCCTGTGTCTGCTCTGCCCCAGCCACCTACGCTCCAACCTTTGCCAGCTGTCCTCTCCCTGCTCCTCTGGGAGACCTCTTGTCCCCATAGCCCCCCAAATGGCCTCCGATCTTGTCCGCCTGCTCATTCCTTCACCACATTGAGCGCATCTAGAATGGCCTTGTTTCCTCGCCAGTGGCCCGTCTCCCCCAACAGACTTTGAGTTCCGTGAGGGCAGAGGCCTGATCAGTCTTGCTCCCTGTTGTAGCCTCAGCATCTAACAGTGTCCGGCATGTAGTAGGTGCTCAGTAGAGACTTGCTGAGCAAGTAGCCCTTCCCTAGGTGTCCTCATGCTGTCTGGAGGCGGGGCCTGTGTGGAGATGCCCACTGCCCAGCCAGCTGGTTCTCTAACTCATTCAGACATTGCAGAGCGTGTTCCGTGAAACTGCTCAGCGAATGAATAATGGATTGAGCAAACACAGGGGCTTCTCGTGCCTGTTCAGAGCCCTCTGACTGTAGACGCCCGCAGCAGTGATGTCCCCGTGTGCTCACACCATCCTCTGCAGTTGGTAGACAGGGAAACCCAGGCTCTGGGGGGCAAGCAGGACCGACCAGGCCTGCAGGAGTTCGAGGTCATGCTCTTGCCCCTCTACTCGGTACTCCTCCCACCTTCCTGCTGTTGGCTCCGACGCCAGTCCCACCAAGGGCGTGGGGTCTGCCCTGCACCACAAGACTGAGGGCACCGAGTCACTAGGTCTGGTGTCGTTCCTGGGCTCCACAGATCTCACCCCTGCCCTGTGCTTTCTTTGCTGTCCTGGGTGCCTCTAAGAGGCCCTCAGCCACACTGTCCCAAAGCGCTGGCCTCTGGTTCTGCAGAGATGAGCTTGTTGAGGCAGCTCACTGGTGTGGAACCCGTCAGATGTGAGGCCGGTAGGCTCTCCGGCCTCTACCTGTGGCCAGTCCTGCTTCTCGGGGAAGAGAAGGCAGAATGGACGGAAGGAGCTCCCTGGGCTCGGGGGGCTTCCTCAGGAGAACCCGACAGAGGAGCTCTGCTGTCTACTGGTGGGACCTTCTCCTTTGTCTCCGTGGTGGGCGGGAGGGGTACACGGGGAACTGGCAACTCCCGGAGGCAGCACAGACTCTCAGAAAAACCACATTCAGCTAGCCAGTTTCTCCTGGGTGGCCTCGGGCAAGTAACTGCCTTCCAAGCCTCAGTTTCCTCCCCTGTGACATGGGGATAAGAGCCCTCTAGCAGGTTGCCATGTGCGCCAAACCCGAGAAGTAGGTGTACCACGATTAATCCCTTTTCATAAACGAGGAGATGGAGGCACAGAAAAGTCAAGTACCTTGCCCAAGGTCACAGAGTTGAGATGCGACCAGGCCATTTGGGTCTGCATTCTGAACCTCTAAGAAACAATGACTTGGGTAAACCTTGAATTTCTTACGTGGCGGAGAGGACAGACGCCAGTTGGTAAAATACACCCATGTTATGACTGCCAGTGTCCCTCCCCTTCTGTGTTGAGGGTGCCCAATCAAAACTGTAATCACCACTGATGTACTTCTGTCCAACGGGCATTGATTGAGCACCTCTTGTATACACAGATGAAACGAAATCAAACCAAGTCCTCAAGGGAGAAGTAATCGATCTTGGGATATTAATAGTCATGGACACTATAATCAGGGCTACATGATGAGGACACTATAATCAGTATAATCAGAACTTACACTTTCCTTCAAAACCAGAGGGAAAAGTTGGTATGTCAGGAAAATTCAAAACAAATGCACTTTTTTTGTGTGTGTGGGGGAACTGGGGATTGAACCCAGGGCCACTTAACCGCTAAGCCACATCCCCAGCCCTTTTGATTTTTTATTTGGAGACAGGGTCTCACTAAGTTGCTGAGGCTGGCTTCAAACCTGCAATCCTCTTGCCTCAGCCTCCTGGGTCATACCACATCCAGCTAACAGGCACTTTTGAGGTTGGTTATTGTTAGTAAAAATAACACGGGCAGTAGCTCTTTATCAAGCCTCTAATAAGTCCTGCCCTTTGCACTGGATGAATTACATGTATTGTTTTTAATTCTTCAATGACCCTATGAGTTACATATCATTTCCACTATTTTACAGATGAGCAAAGTAAAGCTCAGAGACAATAAAACTAGCACCAAGTTTCACAACTGCAGAGTAGCTGAAGTGTGATTCAAAACCAGGTATTTTTAATTTAATTTATTTTATTATATACTGGAGATTGAACCTAGGGGTGCTCTACCATTAAGCCACACCCCCAGCCCTTTTTATTTTTTTATTTGGAGACAGGGTTCATTAAGTTTCTGTGGCTGGCCTTGAATATACGATCCTCCTGCTTCAGCCTGAGTCACTGGGATTGCCGGCGTGTGCAGATATTTTTGCTTCTTGATCACCAACACTACACTTTTGTTCACAGGTAAGATGTGCTGAGTGATTCTTGCATGGCGTGCACCAGCCCAGGGACTCACACACGCTAGGCAAGTGCTCTACCAGTGAGCTACACCCTGACCCTCATCCTCAGCTCTGAAAGAAGGTGAAGCATATAATTTAGAACACAGATCATCATGTGAATAGCAAAAAAAAAAAAAAAAGTCTTTGGATGATTTTCATTTATCTGTGACCTTACACGTCTCTATACCCCTACAGTGCCGTTTACCGAGGACTCACCTGGCACGCATGCTGTTCCATATCACACCATGTTATTCTCCCTGTAGAACCTATGAGGTCCTATTTTGCAGATGAGCAGTGAAGGCCAGGCAGGAACTAGTCAGGCCCATTGTCACACAGACACCACAGCTGCAGGGCAGCCACCACCCTGGGTGCCTGGCTCCTGAGCCCCAAATATTGGCCCCACTGCCCTTGTGGGGCCTCTGCATTCCTTGATATCGATCTATAATCTACAAACAGGGAAAGGTGTGCACCTTAAGCACACAACTTGGTTAACCTCACTAGTTCAGATTGCAAAGAAGAAACTTCTAAAACCCTCTGTCTTCCCTGCCTCCTCCGGGGTAGTTATGGGTCTGCTTTCCGGCACCGCGGCTCAGTGTACTCCATTCTAGAACTTCACACAAACACAATCATGCGGGGTGTCCCCTTTTGGCTTCCTTGCTCAGCTCAAGGGACGTACCATGCCACATGCCTGTCAACCCTGCTCTCTTTACCGTTGGCCTCATTCCACTGCGTGCCTTTGGCCTGGGCTGTGTACAAGCCCCAAGCTGAGCAGCAGGACCCTAACCTGCTGGAGCATCCTACCCCCCACTGATGGAGAACCCGTGAGCGCAGCCTGGCAGAGGAGCGGCTTCTGGGGACCCTGCAGCGCCCTCTCCCTGTGCAGACGCTGGCTGGCCCAGCTCGGCGAGGAGGCCGGTCCCCTGCCCACTGACCTGACCCTCATGCCCTGGAACATCTCAGTGCTGGTGTGGAAGGGCAGTACGGTGGTGGCGCTGACGCCCGGACAGTCCAGCAGTCCCAGGGTCAGGCTCTCCATAAAGGCGAAGGCGGACGCTTTGGACGTGCAGTAGTCGATGGCGCCGGGGATGGCAGACAGCGCCAGCACGGAGTTGAGGCACACGATGTGGCCGTTCTGCAACTCCAGCATGCGCGGCAGGAAGGCCTTGGTGGTCTGCGGGCAGACGGGGTCGGTGTGAAGCAGCCGCTGTTTCCACCAGCCCTCCTGCCCTGGCCCGGGGACACCTGCCCACCCGGGACCACGCTACTCCAGCGGCCCAGCCCTCCTGCAGGGGAAGGGGCTAGAGGCACCCTGCTGCGGGACACTGAGGTCACAGATCAGAAAGTCTAGTGGCTTCTGGGGCTGGACATTTCTCTTGGTCCCGCTTTGTCCTTGGATATCCTGCTGGCCCAAGTCCTGGTCCTGGTGAGCCTATTGCCACCCCAGCTGGCCAGGCTCCCTGTCATGCCCAGGGCTGGCTCTCGGCCAGGACAGCTCTTACCCAGAACTGGCCCAAGGTGTTGATGTGCTGGGACTTGAGGAGGGCGTCATCGTCGCTGTCCATCAAGCTCTTCCCGTGGACCACAGCGGCGTTGTTGACCAGAATGGTGATGTCACCCACCTGCGGGTGGGAGGGGACACAGGGCTGTGAGGGCACAGACCAGACCCCCCACCACATGCGTGCAGCCTTGGGAAGCCACACCACCTCTCTGGCATCAGTCTTGTTGAGAAGATGGCATTAGCGCCAGACCAGCTGGGTGCTGAGGGTTAGAAATGACTTATGGCACGCACCCTTCCTGGGACCCATCACATCTATAATAAATGAAGTTATTGGTACGTAAAGAGAGTTACCATTGCCACATGCCGGATACCCAACAGGATGGTTTTTTCCTTTCTTGGAGTAAACTGATACACTAGATGACTGAAGGCAGGAGAAGGATTTTCCCAGGAGGCAGTGGGGCATTGGGCTCTCAGAGTCTTGGAGAGAAACCCACAGGTTTAAATTTCCAAGGGGACCACAGGTGACTATAGCTATTGTTCAATCATCCCCAATCCCTGCCTGTGCAACTTGGACCAGCTCCTCAGGAAAGTCCCCTAAAGTGCCCTGGACAAAGCCACTCTGCCAGGCCACGCAAGCACATCCCCTTTTCCTGGCATTACCCTGCGTTCAGCTGCTCTGAGGACAGGCCCTCCCAAGCCACTGACCTTCTCCCGGACAGCTTTGGCCGTCTGGTATACCTCCTCCCGGTTGCCCACGTCACAGATGAAGTAGTGGCACTCTGTGCCCATCTGCCGGATCTCCTCCGTCGTCTCCTTCAGACATTTCTCAGTCCGGCCCCATAGAACAATCTAGAAGAAGAGAATAAGGTGGTCATGGAACAAGCAATTATTACCATCAGAAGTCCAGTGAAATAACTTGTCTTTAAATTTCCCTCCCTGACTTCACCCCAAAATAAAGTATACAAAGCAAATTAACAATATGAGTTTTTAAAAGGGAAATTAGCCTATTCTTAAGTGAACCAGTAGTTCCCGAGCTTATTTATTTATTTGGTACTGGGGATTGAACTCGGGGACTCGACCACTGAGCCACATTCCCAGCCCTCTTTTGTATTTTATTTAGAGACAGGGTCTCACTGAGTTGCTCAGCACCTTGCTTTTGCTGAGGCTGGATTTGAACTCGAAATCCTCCTGCCTCAGCCTCCCAAGCCTGGGATTACAGGCGTGTGTCACCGGGCCTGGCTCTGAGCCCATTTATGACCAATTGATGGATTACTTATCTTTCTAATATACTCCTTCTAGCAGGATGCCTCCTGCCAGCCCAGTGCTGATTATCTCAGAAGCAAGAGCACAGTTTTTCTATTCAATATTTCAGAATGTTCTTCCAAATCAGCTTCTCACCAGTTAGTCTAGGGCTAGGATGGATGGGGAGGCTTGGCCTCAGGGCTGCAGAGGCTGAGGGGGCCTGCCACCCTGCTGCGGTCATACTCGGAGGGGAGGGCGGGAGAGGGGCAGCCAGGTTCCAGTTGAGATGAACTGCTGCCTCACCTGGCAGGTAATGAGCCGCTCACCTCACCAGGAGTCCGCCCCGCAGGACTGAACAGCGGGTAGTTCAAGGGTTGGGGCAAGTTTATGAATGGCTGGCCCATAAGGGCTCAGAGGAGAAGCTTGGCTTGTTCTCACCCTCGACCTGAGGTAGGGTAGCACATCTTTCCCCATGAGAGCCCAGGGTTAGAGGACGGGGAGACGAACTGCCCTAACTAAGAGTCAACTCTGTTGGCACAGAGGGCGGGAGGCCCGGGACCCACAAGCTCAGGATAGAACCAGGAAAAGCAAGAGCAGGAAGCTGCTTCTAGGGAATCAGTCCGATGGGTTCCTATTTTCTTTCCTTTTTTAAAATTATCAGTGAACTTCTCTACACAAAAATAAAACCCAGTATGGAAACCCCGATGTGTGAAACCAAGAGAAATAAGTGGTGTGTCCAACTCATAATATTTTCTTACTCTAAAGACGACTAAGGAGAACAAAATGGCTTATGTGGGAAGACAAGCCTTCCAAACCGGGGCTTATAGACGGTGGCTCCAGTCACAATGGACCAGAACCCGACCCATCTCTCTTTTATATTGTTGCCGGTTGTAGTGGAGAGCCAAGTGGACAGAGCGGCAAATGACCACAGTTTATTAACTGCCTATCTTAAAACCTCAGAACTTTCATTTAGAAAGAGAATGAGCCAGGTGGGGCGAGCGGGGGCTGGCACACTCGAGGATTCTGGTGCATTGATTTTTTTTTTTTAATTAGAATTTTTTAAACTTTTAAAGTATTTTTAAAAAGGAAATAATAGTGTTCTCTCAACCTCTAAAACAGCTCTGGGAAAGAGTTTGAAAGCCCCACTCAGTCCAACCACTTTATTTCTTTTAATTGAAGTCCTGAAATACAGAAACGGTTTTACAAGGGAGAAGCCCGTTGGCTGTCTCCAGGACCCCAGAAGTCCATCAAGGGCAAAGAGGCTGCAATTAGAGAGACTCCAAGGGACACTTTACTAAAAACAGCCTTGGAATGTGTTCCTCCAGGAGAGGCTGGGAGGTTTAGACCATGGAGAAGAAAAAGACAAACATTTGTTCTAAGGATGTGATTTGGCATCGACATCCTTCACCCCACCACACCCCCGCATCCCTGTCTTCCAGGGTTCCTTCCATCCTCCCTCATCACCCACCTACCACCCATTAGCTCATCCATCCACCCATCCATCTACACACCCATCCATCTATCCACCCATCCATCTATCCACCCATCCATCGATCCACTTATCCGTGCATCTGTCCATCCATCCATCCACCCACCCAGTTCTGAGTATATCAGCCTGGGATGAAGACAACCCTTGGCTTCCTTCCTCCTGCTCCATTGTCTCTGTCTCCCATGGGTGATGGGACCACTGGGCTTACACAGATCCCTAAGGTATGGCTGAGGCAGAAAGGTACCTCTGGGGACCCTAAGAATTTCTGGGCAAGTCAACAGAAGGAAAGCTTAGAGCTGGGGAGCTTGCTGGAAGGTACAGGGGTCTAGATGCCTACAAAGACAAGTGATGACCTCGGGGTATCTGAAGCAGTGGCCCAGATGGGTGCCTGTCACTCTGGAACCCTTTCAGCACAAACGGGTGTGCAGGGGTTCCCATCAGAAGGTCCCTGAGGGCTCCACCCCAGAAGCATGAAGCTGGGCAAGGTGAGGAGGGCAGGGGTCTGTGGTCTGGGAACCGGGGAGCCCAGCACTGTCCACCTGGGGAGGAGACAGGGCAGGGGCAAGGGACGAAATGAAGGTCGTGCCCTTCTGTCTTTCAGTGGCAGGCAAGGACAACAGTCAGGCCCCTGAGGCTTGGTGGCTCCCTCTGAGGGGCTGCTGAGACAGAGGTTGCCCCTGTGGGCCCGGAGCCCCGAAGAACTCAGTGCTGTCTTACTCATTTTATGTCCCTGCGTCCAGGTTGGCATGTGCTGTCTGCTGAATGAACTAATGAAAGTTAAGTGCCAAAGGTGGGACCACCTCCCAGACCGAGAGACCATGCATCCTCCTCCGTGGAGCCATCAGGGTCCCCCGCAATCTTCAGCACAGGGGTCTGAGCGAGGGAGGACAGGGATTTCCCTCCCCAGAACAGCCACCGCGGAGCTGGGCTGCCTGGGGAGGGCGGCTAGTGCGAGCCTCGCCATGTTCCCGCGCAAGCCTCGCATGTGCTCGGTGCTGTGCGTCGGGGCATGCGCAGCCTTGCGCCGGGTTGCCCAGGTCCTCTGGTGGACGCGCAAGGTCCTGGGGTGGGCGGACACTGTTAGTCTGTTTGTCTTAGGGGCCAGCTGCGCCTCCGTGGACGGGTGGTGTCACCTGGACTGGGTGCTAGGGAGAGCCCAGGGGAGGGCAATGAGACCCCTCCCGGGTGGAGCTTCTCCGGCTCCTCTGGTCCCTGCCTGGACCCCTCTGGGGTTCTGTCACCAGAAGCCGGCAGCTATACCTGCAGGCCTGCCCAGGTGCCCTGCCAGAGACCCCTGGGGGTGACCCGACCGCGGATAGCACAAGCGTCCCTCCTAGTGCCAGGACAGGGTGGCCGGGCGGAGGCGGGTGGGAGGGGCCGCGAGGGGCGGGCTCCCGGTGCGGGAAGCCGGTTGGTTGGCCTCCGTTAATGAACTCGCAGGACGAGCGGCGGGTCAAGGTCAGCGCCGGGTTTACTCATCAACAGGGATTATAGAATCCGGGCTCTGGAGGCTCGGCACCTCGGCCTCCCTTCCCCGGGCAGAGGGCGAGCTTCGGGCCCCCTGCTCCTCCTGGGCTGGAGCGCAGCTCGGGAGAGGCCAGGCTGCCCTCTCCCTGCGCGGCTGCCTTCTCTGCTGGCCCAGCGCGGCCCTCGGGGCTCCATCCAGAGTTGTCATTGCCCACTTTTCACGGTACTGAGGTCACCCGCCTCAAGTCACACTCTGCGCGGTGGGGACAGGAATCGAACCAGAACCCCCCCCCCCCCCCCCCCCGCAGATGCGCCAAGCCCCAGCAGGGCAGGAGTCTGAGTTTTAAAGATTCTGCTCCCAAATCCCAGGTGTCCAGCACTCAGCCTTCACTCCCACCCGGAAGGTCCTTCTCATGCCATGTCACTCAGTGTCCATCACAACCACCCTGTGCACCCACCTGCCAGGACCACAGAGAGCCCAGGGTGGGATGGAATGGGCATGGAACCCAGTTCTGGGACCCAACAAAGAATTGTTCCTGCCGCAGGGAGACCCTGTTCCAGTGGGCAAGGCAGAAGGAACAGGAAACCCTGGGCCACGAACGAGGGCAAGTGGGATAGAGAAGAAAAAAGGGAACCTCATTTAAATTGGGCATTTAGGACACAGCCATAATATATCCATCTCAGAGAGGCTGAGCATCTTGTCTGAGACCACACAGACAAATGAGTGACAGGGCTGGGATGTTAACTGAGGTTTTGTCAGGCAGCCGGACAGCAGCTCCATTCACTCTCCTGGTGGGAGAAAACTCATCTCCTTTCTCTAAAGGGACTCAGCGCACAGGGCTGGCACCCACTAGCATGCAGTACATTCTCTGCTGGGATTTCCCACAAGGAGAAAAGGCTGAGAAAATCATAGCACCAGCCCTCGGTGACCCTCTCCTCTCGCTGGTCAAAGGATGAGTGTCTCACGGCATGGAAGGATGCTCAGGACTTAATGATCAGAAAAGGGGCCAAGCATTAGGCACCTGGGATAACCTCAGCCCCCAAAACTACCAGGTGAAGGGGCTGCGTAGAGGAGCCTCAGGGCGGAAGACTGGCTGCACGTGCTTCTTTATGTTTGTCTGTATAAGAGAGAAAGCCTCTAAAGAACTCAGTTATTTATGCTCTTAACAATGGAAGGTGTAGTAAAGCTTCCCATAGATCTTTTCCAAAATAGTTATGCACACACAGGTAACTCAGCGCTGTGGGGTCAACCCCTACTTGTCCCTCAGTCCCCTACCAGTGTCTCCCGTCCACTGTGAGGTAACTGTTTGCAATTCTCTTCCTGTTTTTTTTTTCTTCCTGTTTTAAATGCCAAGTCTACTCATGGACTCCTATTCATCCTGCAGAACCCTGCCTAAATATCCCTCAGTTCCAGAACCTCCCTGGCTGCTCCTTCTGTTCTCCCTACAACACCACCACACAGTGTCTAACATCTTTTAAGCGCTGGCCCTGGGCCAGGCACTGTGCCGAGGACACGGATTGGTTTCTACATTAACCCTCACTACCCTGTGGGTGGGTATCCCCCCTCTTTTTTTAAGGTGAGCCTCAGACAGATGAAGTGACCTGCCCAGAGTCCTGCAGTTCCTAAAGCAGAACTCCTGGTTCTCACTGC